CCGGGCCAGGCTAGCTGGGCGATGCAGCGCCGGGCGGCCGGCCGGGGGCTCTCCCCGTGGGCTCTCCTCCTCCCGTGGGCTCACCGTGGCGTTGGCCGTCAGCTGCGGCATCTTGCGTGCCGCCCCCTCGCCCCCGAAGGCCGGCGGCTCCTTCCGGGCACCCTCAGGGGTGCCGGGGGTCGGTAGGGTGGCCGGCGGCAAACCGGTGCCGAAACGGGCAGCTAGGCTGTCGCCGAAAAAGTCGTAGAGCTCGCGGTACATGTCGTGCAGGGAGAGGGCGGGCGGCACGGGGGCTGCCGCTGAGGGGGGGCCGCCGCTGCTGCCCCCCAACTGCAGCAGGGGCCGGCCGAGGCCGAAACCCGCCTCGGCTGGGGGGTCCTGCTTGGGGCTGTGCCGTGGGGACCCCTCCTGCCGCGGGCCGGCCCCAGATGCCGGGGTGGGCGCCTGCTGCGCCTTCATCTTCAGCAAGCGCTCGACAGCCACCTGGAGAAGGGGGGGAACAGTGCTGGCAACAGGGAGCCGTGTGTGCCCCTTACCCAACCGGGCCCCCCCCAGCCCGGCCGAGCCGCTTACCAGGATGGCACCATAGACCTTGTGCCCGTCGGCTTTGACCTGGGCATTGGAGACCGAGTAGTCATCCAGCACGGCCTGCAGGTTGGCCCAATAGGTGGGGAGGTGGGGGTAAAGCACCCGCTCCACCGCCTGCGGAGAAGACAGACAGACAGACGGACAGGGAGGCAGCAGCGCGGAGCGGTCGGGGGCTACGGTGGGACGGCACAGCCCGCTTCTCCCTCACCTTCCAGCCCAGGGCGTGCAGCCCCACCACCGCGCCGTAGTGAGAGCAGAGGGGACGCACGGGATCGGCTAGCACTTTCTGGAGCGAGAGCAGGATTTGATGGTAGAGGCCGCTCACCAGGTCGCCGTGGGTCCTGCGGGCGACAGGGCGGACGCTGCAGACCCTGCTGCGGCGGGACACCCCCCCCTCCCCGTGCCCCAAGGAGGGTCCCCTCACCAGAAGATGCGGCTGAGCAGCATGGCGGCGTAGTCGCGCAGGGTCCAGTGGTCGTTGAGGGGGTTGATGGAGGCGGCCAGCGGCTCCAGCGCGCAGTACATGACGCTGGCGATCAGGCTGCGGACATAGGAGCCCAAGCAGAGGAAGGGGTTCTGGATCAGGCTGCGGGCGATGTGTAACAGCCGGTTCAGCTGCTCCAGGTCGTGACTCACTGATTTCACCTGCCGGCAAGGCATCGGGACCGGGTTCAGCAGGGAGCTGCCCCCCAACCCAACCCCAGCGCAGGCTTGGAGACCCCCCCCCCGATCCCATCCCGTTGCCTGCGCTCACCCCGCTGACCACGTAGACGAAGTAGGGCAGGAGGGCGGCGATCTTGGAGTTGGTCTGCAGGTCCTGCAGGGCTACCTGCGGGCGAGGATGCCAGCCACGGCGGAGGGGGGGGGGTGTCAGCCCCACTCAGGTGTGCTCAGGATGGGGTGGGGGGGTCCCCCTGCCCCACCGCACCTTCATCAGCTGAGGGTCATCGCCCAACACCGCCCGGGTGACGTGCTGGTAGTACTTGAGCAGGTCGTCGGTCAGCGTAGAGACGGCGCTGGGCACTATGGCGGAGGAGGGAGTGTCACCCAAGGTCTGGCCTTGGCCCTGCAGTGGGGAGGATGAGCCCCCCCCCCAACCTGGCATCACCCCCATCGCTCCTTACCGGCTCCCTGTGGTTCCAGGTTGCCTTTTCCATCCAGGTAGGAGACGTGGACTGCAAGAGAACGCGGCGGTGGTGATGAGCACCTTGCCTGCGCCCTGCCTGTGCTGGGGTCAGGCAGGAGAGGGATGCTG